TCTCTGTTCTGTAGGTGATAAGTGTTGTCAGGATGTATCAAAATGCATGATGCCCATTCAGTCTGTGATCGCAAAGTATTTGGAGTATAAATCCAAAGAGTACATTTCAGGCAGTGACAAAGATGGTGATGACAACAAAGCGGCTAGGAAAATTGCTAAAACTTTGTCATCTCATCTTACACCAGGAGAGAAGTCCCATAAATATTTTCAGAGGAGTACAAATCAGAGGCATATGATGCAATGACCATGATCAAAGATCAAATCTATGGATGAGAACAATTATGGTAACACCAAGATCACCATGATCAATTTCAAGAATGGAGATGAGAAGAAGAATTTGCTCCTTCCTGTGCATTCTTTGTGCAACCTTTGCAAGAAAGAGTCTAATTGCATCAAGAATATGTGGGCAGAACTAACACCCCTCATCAAGGAACTGGACAATCTTTCATCTACTGTGGTAAAATCTGATTTATCACTGGATTGGATCTATGTGCGTCACTCTTTGAAAGCCCTTGTGGATTCTCTGGATACATTGGACAACCCTGGCAATTACAACAAAGAAATATCAAACAAAGCAAGTTTTTGTAACAAACCACATTATATTGATGATGACATGATTGCATTGTTGGAATGTCAACTTATCCAAATGAATATGAAGACCTACTTGCCTCTGGACAAAGCAAAAATCTGCCCTTTCCTTGGCATCCCAGGTCAGTGCCCCTGCATCCCCACTTTTGGAACTGACTACATTATTGCAGGCATGGCATGTATATATGTAAATATGTTTTCTCCACCCAACCAGGGCCAACCAGATTGACGATGCAAGGTCAGAAAGCATAATAAAACTGGAATCAACCTTTTCAAGGCTAATCTCCTGCAATATGTTCCTGATATGACACCTTATGTAAATGCAGGCAAGAAATACAGATTTCATCATCTTAGCAGTCAAGGAGAAGAAGGTTTTCTCTACCCTCCTCAGGGTGCCAATGATCTCAACAAGGTGGAAAAATCCAAACAGCTGATGTTTTGATGCTTAAATGTCAACACTGCATTGAAATTCTTCTCTGGTACATGTCATCTGTGTCCAATAGATTTGCAGTGTCCAGGTCCAAGCCCAAGCCACTAATCTATAAAGACAAAGTTGTAGACCTCATCTTGGAGTCCGTTATTGATGTAAATGATCAGGTTGAGGTTGCTGATGCTGCATCTCTCTCCCAAATGATTTTCAAAGGGATGAAACTGTTGGTAAAAAATTGGCCCGGGACAAAGCATCCAACACCCAATACAAATGGGAAGAATGGAAAAAGTTCATGCCTGTGGATGGCAAACTGGTTTCTAATCTGGAGAATACAACCTTGAATTACTGTGACAGGTTTTTTCCTAACTCCAGAGGTTGAACCTGATGAAAATGCCTGGTGTTTGTGTTTGCAGTGTATCACCCATGCTCTGTTTTCATGTATTTTTCCTACATTGTGGGAAAGGCAAAGTGACCGCTCTTGCAATTGAGTGGCCCAAAAGTTACTCCAACCCAATGAATGATGTTAATCAATTGTCCCCTTTTGACTATTCTCATGATAAGCTTCACAACATCTCCAGAAGGACAACTGGAAATCCTATTACCGTGGTGCATGCTTGCTATAATCCTGATCCATTGTAATGCAACCCAAATTTTCACACATGCAGTATAAATTCCACATAATTAGTAAATTTGTTTGAAGAACCCCACTTGATTGTGTGTTAGTATTCATTGGAATCATCAGAGTTGTCTCCCTCACAACCAGAAATTTGACCCTTGTTGCTCTCCCTTGAATTATTAGAGTCATCATCACCACAATCTGAAGAATCTTTATCTTTAATATCCCCCCTGTCCCTCCACTCCTGACCTTCTATTTTATCAAGGTCCAAGTTGCAGTCAGAGTCATTGTCAGTGTGTTCTATTGGGTTCCTGTTTGGGGTAAGTTTATTCTCCAAAAATAGTTGCCATTCTTCACGTCTCTGGACAACAAACCACCCTGGAGGTTCCTTCTCTTGGTCTGGTTCTAAGTCAGGTATCACAGCAAGTTACAGTTCAAAGTTATGACTGTCCAATTCTCCCCTGAAGACAAATGTTGACACCATTTTCTTGTGCCTCTTTGAACAAATGCACAACAGCATAAACTCTGCCATTGGCACCAAAAACACTACCAGCAGGTATGAGACCAGCTTAAGAAAGCACAACACTTGTCCTGGGACAGTAATCTCATTGTCATTGTGATCCATCACCCAAAATGCCACCCAGTCCATCCATATACCACTCTACTGCCCAGTGTTACTCTGAAAGGATGGGCGGGATCAGAAGAGATGGTGGCTGTCCCTGGAACTATCATATCTTTTGTGTTCTGTGCGCCTGTACACACAACTTGTATCCCTCAGCAGAGGCATAATCATCTTGCAACAGTATGCAAGAACTGGCTGTGGAAAATGAGGATTTTCTTTGTTACGACCACTAGCAGTCCAATCCATTGTCAGGGTGGTACCATCTGGTCCAAACTTGATACAGAACTTTGCACCCTCTCTGAACTGAAAGCTTTGTTTTCATTGCCTTGCCTTAGATTAAATCTAGACATTGCAGTTTCAGTAAGCATCTGTTCAGATTGACGTATGGTTGTCTGTCTTAAAAGTTTGGACAGCATCTGTTGTGTGTTCTTTGACAGAGCTTTTATTTCTGTTTTGTGGTGACTCTCACTTGCAGTAGAATCCCATCCTATACTTTGGCAAGTGAAAGTACAAGTTGGTTTTAATGAGGTTTGTACCCATCTCCCCTCTCAGACAGGTCCTGTTGATGCGTTTAACAAATTCATTTATTGTTTGTTGCAAATTCTTTCTAATTCTCATGGATGGTCTGCCATGCTTGACAGTCATGTATTTCTGTGTCACCAATTAAACTTCTTCTTCACCTTCCACACCCTACCAGCATATGGAAGGTAATCCCACTTCACTCCACCATCTATTTCATAGATTTCCTTGAATGTACTCATTGCTGCCCTAATTCCTGTGTGAAGGTCTTGTACTTTGTCTGCCAGGTCAGTCTTTGTTTGGCTGTCTAGCTCATGTTTCACATCTGGGTGGAAGTTAATGATTCTCCATGTGTATGCTTTACTCCTTGTTTCCAAATTGAAAATTTCCAGTGTCATGTTCAATGGTGTTAGGCTCAAATTACTCTGGACATCCAAAGAGATCCCATCCATGTAAAGTATAATGGGAACCATAATCTCATTTGAATTTTCCCAGCACTGCTCCTTCTGTGTCTCACACCACCAGGATATGTGATGTAGCTGTTGTATCCCTGTGTCGTCTGTTAATTTCAGATCATGCTTTGGTGATGTTGGCTTTTTGCAACTAGGATATGCTGATAGATTCTCATCCACCATAAGATCCGTATTTGAAAGCAGGGAAAACAAAGCTTCTTTAAACCGGCATGTGTGTGTAACTGCCTTCTTGGTCATTTGTCCGGAAGCCAAGATGCTTGCAAATGTTGTCTACAAATGATTTCCTCAACCATGGGCTTGCTGTCCATAGGATATCAGATTGTGGGTATGATTCATGATATCTACTACTGGAAAAATACCTATGATTCATACACACTTTACATTCATGACTCACTTGATCCTATGGATCCACATGATCGACATGACTTGTTTGATTCACTTGCGTGAGTGACTTGACTCATTCGATTCACACATCACTCGATCTTCATTCTGATGTCTTTTAGTCTCATACTTCATCAATCCTTGATAAGAGCATTGACTCACTTTTCTACTAGCACACAATTTACATCACTATTAGATAGTCACTCCCACAGGTTATGAGCCTTTCCAATAAAAATAATCACCACCATGGTGATACTATATTATTTAGGTGTGCTCTCTCCTCACACAACTCTACCAAAACTCAACCGTTCACACACCTTTGCACGCAAAATTGCCATCACATAAACACAATGAGTACTACCGTGCATCAACATCCATTGCTTAAAACAAACAAATTGTTTGTTTTTCAATACTCACCATTGTCAACGCTCAATCTTCAAATCCCCATCGTTTCAAAACCAAAAATTGACCCAAGACACACATTCTTGCTCTTCGAAACCATTCAGCACTAACAAACACACTCCAGATTTTTAACTCCCACTCAAGCTGTAAAAATAAATCCCACACTTGCACAACTGCAAGTGATTGAAATTTTTATTCACACACTGAAGACAGTCTCACTTCACGAGATCAATACTAAAACTCTCAGACCCATTCAACAACAATATCTACCAAGCTTCTCATGAAAACCGATACTTTTACACACAAAATATAAAACATGGCTCCATGACAAACATTCCATAAAACATATTTTGATTCAGATCAAAACATCTTTTATTCCTAATATCTTCCCAACCCAGACTTGCAAGCTCAAGCCTACTTTCCAACATGTCAGACACAAGAAGCGGATCTACTAGATCACCTGTCCGTTGCCGCCCTTTCCATCCAAAGGTCAAGTATCTTGACTTTGTCTTCCTCAATCACCAACTTTGCCCCAAGCTCACTGCTGAAATGAACAACACTTATTGCTTGTCTATGAAATTTGACGATATGTCACACCCTCCTCCTCCTTGTTGATGTAGTAGTACGCGGGAAAAACAAAGCACCAAAGTATCGGTTTGTGTGAGTTAATAATGATGATTTCAAATAACCCTCAATACCCAGTATGACCAACACACACATTTGTGTGTTAAGATGAATCCTGCCAAAAGCTATCTCTTTATTATCTGATATTTAGTTGCAGAGATGGACCATATGAAAAAGTTGGTACTAGTAGTAGTTTTAGTAGTACTTCTTGAGTACTACTGTGTACATGCAATTTCCAGGTAGAAAATGAAAAAAATTTAATGAAAAGCTGCAGTTTCTGTTCGTCCTCGCGTGAACAAATGTAAATTCTTTTCCTGATACCTCGCTTCACTCAGAACGCCGAGAGATCGATGGAGATAGAGATTCCCGAGGTCACAATCATCAGTCAAACTATCAATCGAGACATCAGCATCGTTTGTATCGAACATCTTCCTCCGTGTTTAGGGATTACCTCGAAGGTACGATACCGATATCGGCATCCATGCTCCCTCAGACCCCTATCAGAGTTTTATTACAGTAAGGGCACACCATTGAGTCGTACGGCAGCATTTTTCAGACAATGACCGATCCCCGAGATGAAAGCAACGATGGAACAAGCAGCGGTACCGGTGATGATGACGAGGAGCAGCAGCGGCAACAAAGAGGACGGAAGCCTCCGAGCACCCCGTCGTTTTTGTCTCCCGTTGGGACGACGTCCAGGAATTATTCGGTGGCCCTCGACGAAGACGAAATCATGGATTTGTCGTCACCTCTGACACCAACCATGGGCATCCATCCTCCGCTGCACGCTGCTTCCATCCCACCCAGTCCCGCGAGTCGCGGGAACAACGGAAGATCCCACAGGAATGCCAATGGCGTCGATCCCGGTCCGAACAGTCCCGAGAGGCGCAGTGTCAACCATCGGTTTTGGGAAAGCGACTACGAAGCCGATTACAGGAATGGCAACAACCATGCCAGCGACGACGAAGACGACAGCAGCCTTCCGGTGCCCCTCTTGGGTTACGACTACCACCACGATGATTCGCACTATCGTCGCCCTTCCAATTCCCACCAGCAACGACGCCACCACCGCCTAAACCACGACCAGCACTACCATTCACACCGACAAAACAGAAATGCCCCTCCGAAACTGAACGGGCTCAACTATCTCAACGTCATCACTTACGTTCTCAACGTCTTCACTTCGTACTTCATTGGAGTCCAGGGCCTCTTTGGGGTTATGCCGAAGCGAAGGGATATTTTCTTGGAATACGAAACCCTCGTAACGCCTGCCGACTACGCGTACTACCTTTGGGCGCCGATCCTGGTCTTTGAGTTTTTCTTCGCTACCGCGCAGCTCTTTCCMCACTATCGGGCACGGCCGATCATACAACAGGGGACCGGCCTGTACTTCTTCTGGGCCTGCATCATACAAACCGTGTGGACTGTCTTTTTTGCCATGCGCTGGTTCATTTTGAGTTTCGTGGCCGTGGTGCTGGCCCTGCTGTGCCTGGTCTTTTTGCTGGCCAGCCAACACTACAACTGTCTCTGCGTACCGACCGTTCACAGGGGCGGAGGGGGAATCATGACGGTGGTCGGATTCCTGTCGTCGGCGACGGGGGTACCGCGGCAGCGACGCAAGTCCCTGCTCGAGTACTGGCTCTTCCGGTTCCCCTTTTACCTACACTGCGGTTGGTTGCTGGTCTGCACCGTCGTGCAGCTGTCCATGGCATTTCGGTACCGCTTCACGGACAGCACCGGGGGGCAGCTGGCGGCCGACATCGTGGCGCTCGGGGTCCTCCTGCCACCGGGGACCTTTTTTCTGACGGGCCAGTCCTCGGGGCCCGATTTCGTCATCCCACTGGTCATTGTGTGGTCCTACATTTCGATCGCCGTAGAGCTCCACACCCCGAGCGAGACGCTGATAGAACTCTACGGCCACCCGGCAATCGTGGCCGTTCGGAACGCGTCCTATGTCTTTACGGGCCTGATCGGCGTCATGCTGGTCCCGCGCATCGTGGTTTGGATCGCCCAGGAATTCTGCACCATCGACGTCGTTGAGCTCGTCGACGACGACGGCGAAGAGGACTACATCAGCACGACGATGAACGAGGTTCGCAACGGAGGTGGTGCGGAAAGAGAAGGGGGGTTCTTCCACGGGGTCTCGCTCCGCATCGACAACGTGGCCGGGGAGGAAAGCGCATCGCCGCCATCCACCCACCACCCGGCTGTTGGGGGCTTTGCGGATGGCAGCGACGACAGTGACGAAAGGGAGGATCTGCCGCCCCTCTGCACCCGCCGACGAAACGAGGAATACGTCCTGGACGACGAGGAATCGGGCGAGGAGGACTTTCAGGATTGCCGCGAGATCGACCATGACGGTGCCGGTGCAAGCGCCGGTGGCAAACACGGAGAAGAGACCCCTACGGAAACAACGGAAGAAGACGTCGTTGAGGAATGAGGAACTGGACGAGACGAGATGAGACGACAGAGCTATGGATCGATGGAACGATTCAAACCTTTGCTTTGCAAAAATGATTAAAAAAATGAATCGCAGTTTTCAAACAAGCTCGAAGGGTGCAGCTCTATGTGTATTGTTGTTTTGAATAGTTAAGGTGAACGGTAAATCACGCGATGCGTCGATTTCACGATGCGGTCATTCAGATCTAGAAAAAAGTAATAAAAAACCAAAAACCTAAATCAGAAATACTTAGTTGCTGTCTTAATTTTCTTTTTTCTTTCGACTGGATTTCATCACTCTAATAGCGTCTGCCCGTATTCCGCAACGGGAAGAAATTATTCAGCTCGACGCATCGGAAAAGCTCAAATCGTTCGGCCGTTCTTCTGGCGATCTCCATTTCCTCTTCCGTCGCCTTGGTTTCCGCTTCCTTTAGCAAATTCTTTTTGTGTCTTCGCTGGTCGTTGCATGCATCGACGAGGTAGTTTTCGTATGCTGTCTGGACCATTCGTTCGACTTGTGCGAGCTGGTAGCGATCCCGGTAGAGAGTTCGCATAAACTTATCGTCCACAAAATAGGGAATGTCTTTGACCTTGGTTAGTTTTGTATGCAATGGGTTGATAAAGGGAACCTCTTGCTATTTAGGTGATGGTAAAGAAAGAAAGGCAGACCAAGCATTTTGATTTTTTTATGGTTCGTATTCAAAACAGGCAGCAAAAAGCCATCGCATGAGGGCGATGAATTGAATCCAATCGGCTCAATGAAGGAACCAAACCACATATTTCATTGGAAAATAGATGAATTAGCAATGAAACAAACCGCGAAACATCAACACCGACCATCCACTTACATGAAGAGTGAAGTACTTATTCAGACCTGGACTTCTACTTTTCCCGCTATTGCTCCCACCACTGGCAGCATAATCATTGCTCTGATTGAAAAACGACAGCATCATGATGACCAAGAAGGGCAATAGTTGTATCAAGTTAGCTAAACCGGGAGCTTCGGGCTCCGGTTGCCTTTGGCCGCCAGCTTGGCGTCTTTGCTGCTGTCTAAATCCGCCTGGCATTCCGCCAAAGTTGGTAGAAAAGTGGACTCCTCCGGGCCCACGGTGCATCCCACCCATACCACCGCCAAAGAACATGTTGAATATGTCTTCTGGATTCACCTCCTGGCCAGGACGGAAATGCATACCCCCCGGTCCTCGGCGCATTCCTCCCATGCCACCACCTCGATTGTCCGGGTCTTCTTCTCCGTACCGATCGTATATAGTGCGTTTCTGGGGATCCGATAATGTTGCGTAAGCCAATCCAACCGCCTTGAATGCTTCATCTGCTTGGGGCGCCGAGTTTTTATCGGGATGAACCTTGATGGCTGTTTTGCGGTAGGCTTTTTTGATTTCATTCTCAGTGGCATTTTGAGTGATGCCCAAGACCCTGTAATGGGCACCTCGCCCGCCCTCCTTTGCTTTCATAATTCGCTCGACCGTCTCCACCATTTGCGGTGTGTAGGAGCGTCCATTTGATGCCGGTGCCGGCGCTGGTGCCGAGGATGGTGCCGGAGCTGGGGCAGGAGCGGGTCTAGCGGTCGACGACGACGCAGAGTAAGAAGCCCCGTTTGTAGAGCTTCTTTGACTATAACTGTTGGCATTGCTACCGCTGTTATAATTGTTGCTACTGCTTTCCCCCCTCGCCATTCGCTCTGCAGTTTCCAACAGGGTGTCGACTCCAGGAAGAGGGTACAAATGAAGACTTTTCTTGAAAAATTTGATGGCTCGATCGTATTGTCCTTGCTTGAGTGCATTTGCACCGATCGTTTTGCACTTCTCTGCTTGTTCTTTGTTCACCTCCATGATGATATTTTCGCCCGGATGCAGGAACTAGTTGTCGTGTAAATAATCGTCTGGTTCTAAGAAACTGTTTTGAGTCGTTTACTTCGGGAATGCCTTGTTGCAAGCTTGACGTCCAAGGACATTTTCGCGATGTGGAACGAACTTGGTGAAAAACTTGACTCCGTGCTGAGTACGAGCAGTAAAATGATGTACCATATGATACGTACGGTGCGTAGTTCGAACGAGATTCAAAAACTGCGACGGAAGAAAAACGTGAACAACAGAGGTCGTACGGTATCGGTACGAGTACTCGTACGTACTAATAACGAATACAGTAACCATACAAGTTCGTAGCGGCCGTAACGACCGCACAGTACGTAGTTTCTTTAAGTCTCTACGCCCTCAAGTACAGACGATAAAGGGGGATCACGGCAATACCAAAGAATAAAAGGGGATATATTCAGTCATCTTCGTTCCCCCCCCCGTCTTGTCAACACATTGCCAACTCGTTGCCGTTACACGCATGATCGCGTTCGGAAACACCCGCCGGCCCTCTAAATTTAGCAACGGTCACAAAATTTCTTGAGATGGATCGACAAAATCTATCAGAAAGTCGATGCAAACGAAACTTTTACGTAGAATAACAAAACCATACTCCGACGTTCGTCACCAGATACCATCGCTCATTGTGCCCATCACAAACCTTTTCAAAGAATTTCAAAGGACATTCAATTTTCATATTTTTGGTTTTCACTGTAACCAAAAGATTGAAACAATCCTCCTCCTTGTTTGAGGCATCAACAAGACGCAGACCCTATTACTTGGTATGGGTCGAAACTAGTTCACAGTAAAATATGTTTTGTCAACCAAAAATTGAACCACCAAGGTTGTCTCTTCTTGGTCAGAATAACAATAATCAGCTTACTTCATCACAAAAAAAGAAACGGAAGTCGAATACAATAGCTGGACCTTCTTCGTTGGACGAGGAAAACAGACTTCAGAGATCTACCAATCTCACGATTAACACTACCGACTGTGACCTTTCACCCCAAAAGAGCTATCAGCATCAAATCAACAAGTCTCCAAGACTAGAAAAGTCTGTCAAAAACAACGAGGTCGAGGACAATATCGTCGTCGATAAGATGAAGGATTCCACTAATCTTGCTATCGACACACTTAATGACGATTTGAAATCATCCAATATTCACTCCAAAAACCCCAGTCCCAATGCATCAGAATGCGCAAGTGAAGTTTCTTCGGTCTCGCAGCGAAGAGAATGGCTCAAAAGTTTTGAACAGAAACAGTCAAGCAATATCTTTAGATCATTGACCAAAGATGAACGTCCCGAAATGAGCCAATCACGTCAAGTTGATAATCGCAACAAAAAAGAGACAAGAGACGGCAATACCGAAAAAGATCCGCGGCAGTCTCCTCCAGCTTCTCCTGCAAAGTCTAACGTCAGCTTCAATAGAAAGATTTCGATTTCTCACTATCCTACGGGAGTGACGAACTCCGCAACAAAACCAAAACAACGAAGACCTGCAATCAATAGGCGAGCAAGTTCAGCCGTGATGATGCGATCGTGGAAAGACCCCAGAGTTCATGAAGGAGTAAAAGCTACTGATGAAGGTTATGCGTCCGTCGCGAGCTTGTCAAAGTGGCTGGAAAATGATCCAACTTCGGTGAAAAAGAAGAGGCACATCCGGCGGGGACGCAACATTATTTCCAAATCACGTCAATTTGAGAGGGGTCTAGAAGATGTTATTGTATTGGAAAACAAAATCTCACGCGGAGCTGTCGGTGACAAGAAAAAATGGTTGGAAAATGCTTTCCAATCTGTGCAAGAGGAGCACGAAGATGACACTTCCTCTATCTACTCAGGATACGTCCAGAGTGATGTTGGTAGATCATTTAGGTCACATCCGAATTTTAATCGCCAAGGCGCGCAAACCGAAATCATTACGGACGACGCAGCCTCCAGCATGAGCGTTTCAGACAAGCAAACTTGGCTGAAGAATGCATTCTCAAAAAGCTCGGATGAGCGGAAGCGACCGGCATACACGAGAGCCCGCACCGATATTGTACACAATAGAGGCCAGAATCGTGACGAAACAGCGTCTCGTGCCAAAATGATGTTCAAAGAGCGATCCGCTCGGAAGCTATCCTCGGCTCAGTCACGTTCGAGCCTCATGCCTACTGATCCAAAGAAGTCGGTTGCATTGGAAGCCCCTGTCAGTTCAAGTGAAGATTTTCCCGAAGATGAAGCTGCGAGCCAACCAGAAGAGGTTATTGTTGCTAAGTCTGAAGAAGAAGCACCTATTGAACCGAAAAAAACTGTTCAGATTTCCGAGAGTGTTGAGGAAGATGAGGCCCCTGTCGATTTTCGTGCTGCTCGACAGGCGCTAATAGAGCGCAGCAAGAAAAATGGACATAACACTCAAGTGGTCAACAAAGTTTTCCTTCGGAAGAAAAAGTTTGAAAAACTTGAAGCAGAATCCCGACGAAAGTCGATGGGTGTTGGATTGATGCTCAAATCTTCGTGGGATCTTGTTGATACTTCTTCAGGGCGCCCAAGCAACGTCTATGAAAAGAGATATGTACCAACACAGAATATTGCACCGAAAAAATCATTTGAAGAACTGCCTTGAGGCTGAACGATTCAATAGAATGATGCTGCATAGTATTACTTAAGGTTGGCATTCCCAACCTACGCTTATAGTCATCCTCCAAGGGATGGCCGGAAACCTAGTAGAATGTAGAAGAAATTTATGTATGGTGGACCTTTTTGTTCACGGAAGAAATAATCTCAAACCTCCAAATAATGATGTTTTTTATACTGAAACACTCCACCATTGTAAGTTCGAGAGTGCTCTCATAGAGTGACTGTAGTGCACTAAAAATGGTTGCGCCTAGTTTTCATTTTTTTGAATACGCTATTTTTTGCGTTGCATTATGCATTTTTCGTACACGGATCAAGTATTGGTATTGAGTTAAAAATTAGCTTGTCGATTTTCGGCTTCTGATTACTATCTTCAATCGTGTAACAGGTGGTAGCATTTCATTTAAATTTAGGTGCAGCAGTCACAGCTGACCTGTTCATCCACCGCTAGCTCCTGCAGGACTCCAGTATAATGCAATTCACACAGCTCTTCTGTAACGTTACCCTTTAGATCATTGTTTTCAAGATTTATTTGCTCTGTCAATTTTGTTGAGACATTGAATACGAATTCATCGACAACATCAGTAAGTGCTCGAGAGCGACTGTTTGACATACTTTTGAACAATAAAATTAGTTGCAATCGTTGATGTATTTTGACTTACCTGCATTGTAAAGATTTCCAAGTTCAGGAGGAATCGTGCCACTCAAGGAATTTCTGTCTAGCAGCAATGATTCTATGGAAAATAAAGAAAAAGAAGTTATGTATGAGATTTTGTTTTCGATGTCGGGAGCCATTTGAGGTTCTAATTTGATCAGCCATTTCAACACGTACCCAAGTTTGATAGGTTTCCTATGTCGCTCGGAATTTGCTGTATTAAGCCACTTGATCTGAAATTCAAAGATGTGAGGGACGTCATAAGACCTAGAAACGTTGGTATGCTTGTTTGCAATTGGTTGAATGCCAAAGATAGATGCTCAAGCGCTATTAATTTTTCCATCGATTCCGGTAAAGTTCCTGTCAGGTGATTAAAACTAAAATCAATAAAATCTATGAAGGTCAACGAGAAGAGAATGTAAGCATTCAAAAAGTTTCATGAAAATGTGATGTGAATGATTTCCGCGTCTGACATTGCAACACTTACTCAGAGCTATCAAGTTTCCAATTTCTGAAGGTAAATTTCCAGAAAGGGAATTGTTGAAAAGCCGAAGACTCGACACTTTACCATGCGGATTACAGATGACCGCCTCCCAGTCACACTCGTGATCGGCAGACAAAAAATCTGAGTATCTCAAACTGCTAGGAGTGTCATTTGATTTTTCTTCTGTGTCGACTGAGGAGAAATATATCACTGCTAGCGAATACCGCTGTAAAATCTCTTCTTTGTTGCCGTCGTCACTCACATCGCTAGTGTAGGCATCGTAATCAGAAATCCAACATAGGGCTTTACGTTGTGGAGTGCCTGACTTATCCATTGCCGACATATTCTCAATAGATTGAAAAAGTAAATGCTGCCGGGTAGCATTGTACCGACTCGACAACCTAGTGCCAGCGCTATGATCATGCATTATACACTTTTCCATTCCAAAGTGTTCTCCCAAAGGCGAATCTGAAATCTCTGTTTCGTCCACAATTAAAAAGTAAATCGAAAAACTAAATACGAAACAGGTGAAAATCATCCCAATCACTCCCCAAATCACCCAGGTTTCGCACCTTTTCTTGGGTAATTTTGCAGGAGGTATTTTAAAATCTTCATCCTCTGATATTTGAAAGTCTTCATCCTGTGATATTTGAAGGCCATCATTCTGGAAATCCCTTGCGAAAGATCTATCTTTGAAGCAAACCCAATCAATTCGTTTGTGAATCGGTTTATCCTCGAAGTCGTCATTGTCCCAGTCAAATCGATTCAAATTTAAATTTGTCCCGGAGTTGGTAACGCAAGTTTCGCTATTACTTTTCTCATCCTGTCGCTCGGCTGCGGAAGTTGTGGTAGTTGTGGAAGAGTCTGGACTATAAATTGAAATGCGTCGGATTAAGCTTTTTGCCTGTTCTTCGGTATCCTTGGTTAGACTTTTCTGAAAAAATGAATCGTCCGCATACGATTGTAGGAAGCTTGACGAGGGATTTTCTTCGCTTGTTTTACGTTCGTTCATGTGGAGATATGAAAGTTTCCTTAGATCTCGTTTCCTAACAAACTTTCCTCGAGTCATAGGGTTTCCATTTATTTTTGACTTCGGCTTCTGCGGTCGACTTTCGGCTCCCTTCGTAGTCTTTGGAGTATTCGGAATAGTAATATTTGTATCTACAGAACACAAAAATGGTGAAAAATTCAATGGTTCGTATTTGTTCTCGAATCCGACCAATTTTTCTGTGTGGCTATGCACATTGCCTGCATCCTTATTAGTAGGATTTGTACCATTCTTGGTCTCGTAGTCATCCTTGGTTCTCGGGGTGTCATTCATCACGCCAAGCTTCGTATCTTTTTTGCTTACAACTCCATCCTTAGTTGCCAGGGGCTTTTTCGCCTTGCCTGCGTACTTCTTGTCGAGATATCCATCGTATTTGTTCTTCAGTTTATCCTCGTTTGCCGTTATGCTACTTTCATTGCTTGTGTATTTCTTGTCAAGGTATCCATCATATTTGTTTTTTAGTCCATCCTTGTTTGCGAGTGGACTATTACTTATGTTGCCTGCGTACTTCTTGACAAGGTACTCACTGCTATTGTATTGATCGTTTTGAGAATCTCGCGTTTGGGGATTATCCTGGCCTGATCTTATCGACCCAGTCGATGTCTTTTGAGGGTTTTCTATCGAACAAGGGTATTCATTGCTATTGCATCGCTCATTTTGAGAATTTTGTCTTTGGGGCCCAGTCAGCATCTTCTTAGTGTTTTCTGTCGAAGAAGGGAATAATGAAGCTATATTCCAATCTTGTCGAGCTGGAACTGGCTGCGTTGGGTCTGATATTTTCGAGTGATCGCTTTTCTCGGCATCATTTTCTGATAGTCTTTGAATTTTTTCTAGAAGGCTATCTTTTCTTCTTTTAGGTGGGGTCGAAGAAACTTTATTTCTATCAATGTTAGATCGGAGGATTGACTTTTTTGGAGTGTCATCATTATGCTTGGGGGAATGTTTAGTGAATATTTCTAGCTCTTCCGAAAATCGTATTGTGGAATATTTCTTGGCTTTGTGCTTTTCCTCGTTCTGCTTTATTCTCTGTCGTCGATTTTCTATGTATTCTTCCTCGGAAACCGGAGGATCCCTAGAAGATGGAGGATCCTTTCTTACAATGGATTTAGCCATCTTACGTCTGGCGGCCCTTGAAATTCTATTCTCATTTTCGTTACTTTTTAGTTCGGTTAAGATATCGGAATTTGAGAAAATTCGAGCTTTCCCTTTGTGGCTAGTTCCACTCGGATCTTGTTTTTGTCCTGATTTTCCTGATCGACCGAAGTGGCATCGGTCGACCAAGATATCTCTGTCCGCCATAGGTTGTTTTCACCCGAGATACCTCTACGATGTCGGATGTAAATCTATTTCATTGCCGTAATGGGGTTAATAAAAACAATCTCACTGTAATAAGCAACATTGAATAATATTTGTCAAATGATTTTGATGGTTCGGTTTTCATACAATTCCGTAGTGGAGGAGGATAGAGTTCGTAACTGACGGTTACAAAATTCAAATTTTTTAAAAATAATTTTGAAAATTCTGACTTTAAAGTAATTTTTTAATCCAGAATGAGAATTAAACTATAAAATTTCCCAGCATTTTTTAAAAATAATTTTGACATTCTTTTCTATTTTTAAGAAGAGATTGTTCTTGTATCGATCGAATAGTGATTCTCTTCCACTATGCATTGAAGAGGTAGCTGTAGTTACTAGATGTGCAATGGAATATTAATTTTTAATAGAGTGCAAGTTGAACCACTACCGTTAGAATAACGATTTCGATTCAGTCCGTTAGGTTGATTTCCAGTGTATCTGCTGTATTCATACATACGTACACGCTGTAGGAGCCAAAGATTACTGTGTTGTCGAAAATATAAAATCTTGTTTTTAATTCTTTTTAGCGACGAAACCGAATTTGGGAGGATCGATTAGAATTTAATATTATTTCATTTGGGGGATGGAAAAGTAGGGTCCAAATTTGGAGTTACTTAGTACTGTAGAGTACTATGCAACAGTTCTAGCTACTACTAGTACCACTGGTAATTGTTGTACTATTACTAATAGCAGTTCAACCAAGAACTACTAATAGGAGGGCCTTCTTGAACCCTGCAAACCCCTTTTTGAATTCTTCCCCTACTAGTACTAGAGGAGAAACATGATGGGTTTATTCTTTATGATGTCGTGTAAAATGATCCAGCACCATGTTTTACTAGTAGTAGTACTAGTAGTAGTAGAAAGGTGGGTTATCAATATTAGTACTACTAGTAGAATACTACTAGTGGTGATGAAAGAAAGAAGCAATCCACATTTCTAAAATGAGGGTTATTTGAGGTGAAAAATAACCACCTTTTAAAACATAGTAAGTTTTTGACATAAAAAATTACCGCAAAAAACATTGTGGATGACCAAGCATATCCCTGAAGGGCAGGGCATTACTAGTAGTGCTAGTACTAGAATTATCCTTTCCTAATAAACTGCTGATGTGGTAAGCCATTGAACTGTGTAACAAAAAGTGACTAAATACTATTAGATCTGTGTAGGATCTACTAGTAGTGGCACTCCCCCCCAAGAAGAAAAAGGAGGCTTGGCTTCAAATTAGCTGTAATTTTACTACCAGTAGTACTAGAAATAATTTTAGCTGGTGGAGTAGACACTATTGAGGAGCTCTATTTGTCCCAGTACTAGTAGTAGTAGTAGGCTTTCTGTGATTTATGCATTTTAGTACTCCAGTAATTGCTGGTGCTGGTGCTTGTTCTAGTAGTAGTACTACTAGTAGTAGTAGAAGCAGTAGTTACTATTACTGCTGGTGCTAGTAGTATTAGTTGCAGTAGGAGTAACAGATTTTTTTGATGCAGTACTAGTAGTAGACATGTTGGTTGATCACCACAAGAAGCAGAAGCAGTGCATGCAAGCAGCAATAACAAGGAGAAGGACACCACCAGCAGTAGCAGCACCAAGAAGAACAAGAAGAACAAKTTTTTCTACACAACAACTCCTCAGCCATTATGGTGACAAGAAGGAGACACCACCACCACCAGCCTGGTGCATGCTGGTGGTGGTGGTGGTGACACATTGTGTCTGCTGGTGATAGTTGTGACGGTACTAGCTATTACTAATAATACTAGTAGTAGCAGTACTACTACTACTATTACTACTACTAGTAGTAGTAGCCTAGTAGTACTAGTACTAGTAGTAGTAAAAAATTTACCATTTTTTGTCAGGAGTCCTGCTCTATGGCTGTCCTGTTGGTTAGGGGTATTCTAGTACTAGTAATCTAGACTACTACTAGTAGTATAATTTTCAAATCGAATTTTTTCAAACGCATGAAATTACACTTCGCTTATGAAAATTATCACCTAGAATTCCTACTGATTCCTACGTACATTCCTACCTGACAGGCTCCTTCTGACTTCCGAACCATGGTGACACCCCCTTYGGAAGGGGAGAATCCTCCTCCTTGGCTCCATTCAAGCAACTAAACAATCTAACCAAGACTATTACAAGTATATCGACTCTCCCCCCAGCTGGCTGCAGTTTGCCCCTCCTGGAATCATTCCCAGTTCTCAAGGACCGGAGGCTCCTCAGTACTTTCTGGTCACAATTGTTGTTGTTTCCGGCATCCGTGCCGGAATCAATAACACCAACCCCATCCCCCAGTGTTCAACCAAGACCTTTCCTTTGAAGCACAACGCCTGGAGTACATGCTATATCATATATCATACTCAGTTTCAAGAAGATTCCCCAGCATCTCCATGCAGTTTCAGTATCAGTTCCAGGTCACGAAGTTGTTGTTGTTGTTTCCGACGTTCGTGCCAGAATCAATAACACCAACCCCATCCCCCAGTATTCGACCCAGACCTAGTGACGAACACGCCTGGAGTATATGCTGTATCATATATCCTACTCAATTTAGATTCCCCAGCATCTCCATGCAGTTTCAGTATTTTCCGGACCGGAAGAAGATTCCGGTCACGACGTTGTTGTTGTTGTTGTTTCCGGCATTCGTGCCGGAATGCAATAACACCAACCCCATCCCCCAGCATTCAACCAAGGCCTAGTGAAGAACAAGCCTGGTGTATATGCTGTATCATATATCCTACTCAATTTAGATTCCCCAGCATCTCCATGCAGTTTCAGTATTTTATGGACCGGAAGAAGCTTCTGGTCACGACGTTGCTGTTGTTGTTTCCGGCATTTGTGCCGGAATGCAATACCACCAACCCCAGAACCCAGTATTCAACCAAGACCTAGTGAAGAACAAGCCTGGAGTATATGCTATATCATAAAATACTCAGTTTAAAGAAGACTCCCCAGCATCTCCAAGCAGTTCCTTTTCCAGTATTTTCCGGACCGGAAGAAGATTCCGGTCACGACGTTGTTGTTGTTGTTTCTGGCATTCGTTCCGGCATGCAATAACACCAACCCCATACTCTATCGGTTTCTCCAGCCGAGTGCAGTTGCCTCAGCTGGATCCATCCCCAGTTCTCAAGGACCGGAAGCCCCAGTGCTTTCCAGTCACAATTGTTGTTGTTTCCGGCATCCGTACCAGGATCAATAACACCAACCCCAGCTCCCAGTATTCAACCAAGACCTTTCCTTTGAAGCACAATGCCGGGAGTACATGCTATATCATATATCATACTCAATTTAAAGAAGAGTCCCCAGCATCTCCATGCAGTTTCAGTATCAGTTCCAGGTCACGACGTTGTTGTTGTTGTTTACGGCATCCGTGCTGGAAAGCAATAACACCATCCCCATCCCCCAGTATTCAACCCACGACCTACCAGTGCAGAACAAGCCTGGAGTATATACTATATCATGCTACATTATACTCAGTTTCAAGCAGATTCCCCAGCATCTCCATGCAGTTCCATTATTTTATGGACCGGAAGACGATTCCGGTCACGACGTTGTTGTTATTGTTTCCGGCATTTGTGCCCGACTGCAATAACACCAACTAAATCCCCCAGTATTCAACCAAAACCAGTTACTCCAGCTGAGTGCTTTGCCTCAACTGGATCCATCCCCAATTCTCAAGGACTGGAAGCCCCGGCGCTTTCCAGTCACGATTGTTGTTGTTTCCGACACTCCTGTCCGAATACGATAACACCAACCCCAGCCCCAGTATTCAACCACAACGAATGCGATAACACCAACCCCAGCCAGTATTTAAACATGACCTAGTGAGGAGCAAGCCTGGAGTATATGCTACATGATACATCATACTCAGTTTCAAGAAGATTCCCCAGCATCTCCATGCTGTTCCTTTTCCAGTATTTTACAGACCAGAAGAAGATTCCGGTCACAAAGTTGTTGTTGTTGGTTCCGACACTCGTGCTGGAAGGCAACAACACCAACCCCAGTTACTCCAGTTGAGCACAGTCTGCCTCAGCTGGATCCAACCCCAGTTCTCAAGGACCGGAAGCCCCAGTGCTTTCTGGTCACGATTGCTGTTGTTTCTGACCTCCGTGCCGGAAAGCAACAGCACCACCCCAGTATTTCCCCATTCAACCAAGACCCGGTGAAAGAAGTGTGATGTTTCCTTTTTTCTTTTTCTTTTTGGCTTTTCTTTTTTTTTCTTTCTTTTTGATTTTTTCCTTTGACTACGTGTCCTCGCACACTGGAACGTGTCTGGCCTTAATTGGCTTGCCAGTGTGCTTGACACCCATTTCGTTGATCACTGCATGTGATGGCTTGCCTAMAGGTTGGGAATTGAGACACCCTAACCTAAGGGCTTGGCATGTGACCAACATCTCCTTGATCACTGCGTGTGATAACTTGCCTACGGGCTGGGGACCGGTGGCCCCATCCTACAGGCTTGGCAGTGTGACCCYATTGTTTTATGTCCTCTGAGCCGAGCCCTGGGCCTTCATTGGCCTATCAGTGTGCATAAAACTTGGTCGCGTCTCCACAAAACCTCCTCGGAGGGAGGYGCCGCCCCTYGGTGCAGCTARWAGCATTCTTCTCCTTAGTCAGGTGAAGCTATGGTTCTGGCCTTCCTAGTGCCTCTTCTAGTTCACGAGGTTAAATATAATATTTAGATTTTTTTTTTTTTTTAGACTACTACTAGTAGTAGCATGACTAGTAGTAGTAGGAAGAATTATCTACAATGAGCCCCTGTTTGCTGGGTACCCACCAGATGGTAAACTAGTACTAGTAGTACTTCTACTACATACTCGTAGCTAGATCTGAAAAAAGCTTTTCTTTCTTTCATCTGGATTGGGGCTGATAACCTGTATACAATCCAATGCAAACGTCTCATCGACTATGTACGAACACCACACAAATTGCCTTCTTGACCTCTATCCGTTAAGTTTATTTCGAAAATATCTTTGTTCTTCGTGATGCATTATCTTTTGTTCACCCTTGCGCAGCGTCCGGTCGATTACATAAATCCTTTCTTCTAGCTCAAAAGTGCGTATGTACAGTACTTAGCTTCCTTTTTTGGAATCCATCACTCGGAAACTACGAGTACGTACTGTAGCGTAGCGTACGCCTTCTCGTTCCGAGGAAATTCTTCGTAAAGAGAATGTGTGGAAACCCTTCCTTTGCGTTGTTTGTATGTTCCTCGTGTAGAGTTTTGTTTTTAATTATTGGAACAAGCTCTCATTTGACTTTTGATTGGACGAGGTGAGCAAGCAGTTGCGTCAACCGCTGGTGTTGGTCGCACTCTGTATCTGTCGTTCCATCGAACCGACCGAAGTTGGTTGGGGAAAGTTGCAAAAGTGTCATCCAGTTTGTGCGAGTCGAATTGATTTGCGACTGGAAATTACCGCGGGTATTTACGGTTCGAAATCGTAGTATGGAGCGGGTTTTTGAGTCTGGTGACGATCCACGAACTCACTGTAATAGAAAACAACACTAGCACCAAAAGCCATCAAATCATATTATTACTATAATCATCGTGCCAAATCAAGCTGCGGTAGTAGCGCCAGCAAATTACAACGAAGAATTTCAGGAATCTATCTCGGTATCTGCCGACATAAAATATCTGATTACATCGCACCGACGATTTTAACTAGGTGGAAAAGAACATTCCAAATTCCAATCGTCACACACAGTCCACTACTTGTACACAGCCACAAGACTTTATCCGTGGTCCAGACCACTGTAAGTCGATCGTTGAAATCGGGTGTAGATCTAAACTATCAAAAAAGCCGGAATCATGACGGCGTGAATCTCAGGGATATGCTCGACTTGCCTTGGCTCTCTCGTCCATTTGTTCTCCCAATCTAACGAAGTTGTTCTTTCCTTCGAAGCGTAGATCCAGACCGAATTGATTCAATACGAGTCGACATCTTACCGTACGATACGATACATACTTATTGTCAGCTCATGATCTGAGTAGCTAGCACAGGAAGTGGCGTAGAATCCACCATGGTCGCTTCTTCGAACTCTGTCACCGTCGCTAGGGGGGGGGTTGGCGCTAGCAGGGATGATACAGTACTGGACGATCTGCTCCTCTCCCGTTGTGGGACATCACCACACATCATGCGCAGAAGAATGAATAGCCCTAGCTCGAGCACGGCAAATCGGAACCCACAAAAGGAATCGTCACTGACGGCTTCCAACACCCGGAAGAGGCTCCAAGTCGAGTTAGAAAGACAAAGACTCTTTCCCCCTCTGAATGATGGCAAGAATAGCACCAGCAGCGGTACCGTCATGAACAAAAACAATACCAACCAACATATGCGAAGAGTTCGGAGCGACAATCTGGCTCAATCGAAACGCGACGATCCTTCCGTTCGTAGATCGATCTTTGGTCCCTACTTTCAAGAAAAACCTCGTTCTAATTCGGTGCCTCACTTGGTACGCAGCCAGCTCCCGCCACCACCCCCACCTCTCACGCCGCCCCTAGAAATCGACTCTCCAGTACCAGCCAGAGAGGAACCACAGGCCCCAATACGATCCTTTCGACGATCGTCCTCGGATTTTGTCGTCGCTTCAAAAAAGAACGGCGACAAGAATGATGGAAGACATCGCCGAAAAAGCCAAGAGCAACTCCACCGCCACAATCTCCCCGTCGACTACAGGGTCTTCGCGCCATCTCAGCACCAAGCGGCGACCTCTGCGATATGCTACCGATACCGAGAACTCAACCGAGACCACGAAAAGGAGTACGATTCGGTGCTAGAGCGGCAGGTAAGCGTCGAACACTCGCTTCCGCCGTTTCCGAGTCCCCTGATACGATTCTGTTCGGAAACGACCACGACAGTGGCAGGAAACGATTCGTTTTCCTTGAATACGACACACCCCAATGGGATCCGCCGGTCTAGCTCTAACATTTCATCTCACGACAGAGAAATACACTACCACGGTGTGTATTCGTTGTTGACGCCGATTTCCATCCTGAGACCCTCTCGGTACGCCGGAAGCAAAAGGGAGAGTAGCAGTGACTCGAACGTAGCAGTCGATACAGGTGTGATATCTCAGGATAGTGCGGGCGTCACTAGTTATACGCGTTCCAACAACAAGAGAAATGCAACGATCGAAGAAGAGGCAGAAGAGGGTCACCACCATCTATCAGCCTCGATGTCGGCGTCCTTCAATTTTCCTCGATCGTACATCGACTCGTCGCCAATTCTCAAGGCCTTTGTGGCATCGCCCACCGACGATGGTTCTTTCTCTGGCATCCATCTGGTAGAAGAAAAGAAGGAAAGTGATATTGCGCCCCAAGTACCTCTCGGTGCCGCCTCGGTTGCTTCTTCGCTCAAACCTACCAAGTTCCTTGCTCCGGATATATCACGAAGCGACGAAGCCCTCGACGGCCGCCCGAGTTCCGGCATTACGGCTGCAGCAACCGATGGCAAATTCGAGAAAGACACTTTTTCCGACAAGGATACAACTGACACAGTGGTATTGAAACAACCCCTACAACAAGAACAACAACAAAAGCTACGGTTCGACCCACGCGTTACGGTCACCGAATTCGAGGATCCGATCCCTCGAAAGTGGTATGACGAAAACGAACTAGACCAGCACAAACGAGAAGCCATAGCAATTGCTCAAAACTATCTCCGGCAACACCGGGCAGTGGCCGAATGGTACCGGCGGTCAACGCTCGATCCGGTCACGAATACGTATCGAAAGAAGGCTCTGTTTTCATTACCCGTCTTCTCGTCGATGTACTCGGACAACAGAACCGAAAATAGTCAAGAAAGCCCAAGGGGTGCGATCGTTCCATCGGAGCCGCGGATCCGGAAGATCCTGATCGTGGAACCTAACCCCGCGATTCTGTCCCTCTTTCACAAGAGCATGAAGTCCATGTTTGAATCCGCTGAAATCGTGGCCGCCCGGTCGTCCGAAAAAGCGCTACGGCTGGTAGAGGAATCCATCGCGCCAACGCGACACGATGCCGCCGCCTTTGACATCATTGTGATCGAGCAGGCTTTGGCTATCCGAGGGAACCACGGAGCCAAGCGGTCCGATACGTGTCTTCCCGGACTGCTGGGCATGTTCCTTAAGAAGAATCACGAACCAATAATTTCCGCAGTGCCATCGACCAAGATTCACCGCGGTTCAGAGCTCATCGAGCAGCTTCGCGAGCTATCGCTGGAGCAACAAACGCAGTTCGGCAACGCTGACCCTCCCCGTTCATCGTTGCTGATCGGGGTGTCGCTCCGCCCCGAGCGCGACGGGGCTGCGATGCGCCAGGCTGGTGCGGACCTTGTCTGGGGGATACCCATTCCGAGCGTAGGAAGGAACCTTCGTAACGACTTGGTTTCGAAACTGCAAGACAAGCGGTCAGCGACTGCGAGGCCGACTTCCACCCCGTTGCTCCCGGATCAATCCAATCCCGAAACAAAGTGAAACGCTGTTTTTTTGGGGGTACAGAAAACGCCTTCCCTGGCTTTTGCGTACGCTTCGCAATCGGCCCATAGGAACATTTTGATCTAATGTACATAAAACAGATTCATATTTAATTCATATACATCAATTTTTTCACGAATTCCCAAGTCGTCTTGCTAGTATTAATTTCGATGATATAACAATAGAACATTTCTTCCTTTTGAAAGCCGCAGACAAGGGTTTCGACTTGTGAGGATGAGTATCTCTGCCACCTCGCGAGCTGATGATCGTTTTGGAAGTTAGTATTCTCAGATGCTACTCATAAAGCCCCAAGAGTACCCAGGAACAATCCTACCAGTGTCCTTCTATCGACATTTGCTACGTTGGTTCTAATAATTTGCATTTGTGTTTTCGCATTATTCAATAGAAAAGCGATGATTCTCATGTGGTTATTGATAGGAGATGAAATACACGTTCATTTGCGATACATAGATTGTGTTTCAGAAAACAATATTATATATAGGGTACCTTTTATGAAATCCAAATTATTATCTAGAATTCTATTTCGTTGTTTCTACACCACTTCCATTAAAAACTAGATCTTTGTTCTTTTCCATCTCACTGGTACACTACAACATCGCTGTAGACATTACACTTTAATTCCAATCATTAAGGTTGGATCAACAACCAACGATCCGTTCAGATTCGCTTCTCCTGTTCCATTTGGTCTTTCATTCGAAAATGCACACCATCTGTTCCGTCTGTCTACCCGATCAGTAATTGGGTATTTTCGCCGTCGGTGAACTTGTAAGGAGGAACCTCCAGGTTGAGTGGTGCCGGTCCCTTGCGGATTCGTCCCGAAATATCATAGTGCGAACCATGGCACGGGCAAAACCAGCCGTTGAATTCTCCGGCGTTGGAAACGGGGACGCATCCCAAGTGCGGACAAATCGCCAAGACGACAACCCATTCGTCGGTCAATACTCGATCTTCGTCGGTTTCGGGATCACGCAAACTACCCATTGGTACGGCTCGAACCTCTGCGACTTCCTCCGCTGTTCGTTTTCGAATGAAAATGGGTTTGCCACGCCACTTTACGGTCAGGGTTTCGCCGTATTCAACCGCACTAAGGTCGAAATCGGCCGTGGCCAGGGCGGCAGCCGAGGCGGAAATGGAGAGGGAGGCCACCAATTTGACCACTAGCAACCGGGCAGCTGAAGCATAGGCAAAGCGCACAGTAGTGAGCATGAGATAAGCGAATGCACGGCGCTCTGGTTCTGCAACCTTGTCGATGCGATCATCATAAAACCCATTGTCGACACTCCCGTAATCGTCCATCGTTTCGACACCCGAGGGCACAGGAACAGAAGGCCCGCTGCCACTGCTCGCTTTCCATGACGAAGACGTGCTGGTAAAGGCTCGGAGTCCCGAAAACGAGTAAGCTGCACCATTGCAAATGATTGAAAAATGTGATTACGGAAGAAGTGGAAGAGGCCAAATGTCGGTAAGTCGAAATGAAGAGGATGAAAAAGATACTCCTCGCCAACGCGCACTCTCATTCACGAATTGATTGCTGATTTGATCAATGGACTGCATCTCCGTCTGCAGATCTACACTGCGAGGAAGTGGTATGCCCTGTTGTAATTATCTATCGTCAAACATGCTAATGCATTTCAATTGCAAACTGGTGTTGTATTCTAGAATAGATCTTCAACCGGCATATCTGCGTTCAGTCCCGAGTTCAACTCTACCCCCAAAAACGCCATCTGCCGTGCAAAAACCGAAGACAATTCAATCCCTCGGTATCCGAACGGAAAGAGTCTTCCGTTTCTCTTCGGACCACTAGAGTTTCACACTTACCCGACGATAGTTTGTTTGGTCTTGCGACACTCTGAATGGACTTGAATGCCTGGGGCGCTAAGCGCCTGGACGAAAGGCGAAGAGCGTTCATGGTGAATAGTTCTGTATGAATTTTGTTGCGAGCTTTTGGGGGGTTTTGCTGCGACTTCAGATTGAATTTACCATTTCCGATACTGTAGTACCGTACCGTTCGTACCGTACAGACACGCATTCCCAATGATGCCGATGTTCCACACAAGCTTTTCTTCACGCGTTCTTTTGTTCGTTGAAGGAAACCAGAAGAACAGACAGATGTTGGACACTACTTGGTACCGTACTACTTGAAATATTTCTCAACATATTCGTCCGTCCTTCGTAAGGTTTTCGTTAGTTGAGATTGATTCTTCTCCAAAAATCAAAAAAGTGTGGCCTGCGCGCGGAAAGATTGGATTTCCGTTCATCGAATGTACCGGTATGTGAGGGAGAAAGAAGAAAAAACTGTACGGTACGTACCGGTACGAAATAACGGTACGACGATGTGAAACCTGCACCAACTACGTGATTAAGATTCGGTACTTAGGTGTTTCTTATAAAATAAATTATGAAGGTAAGATGAATGAATGTAAATTGTCAGATTGGATTCTGTACATCCAACCCGGGACTTGAATCTGGGATGCTGGCCGCCTTGG